AACCTCTCGAGTTCGTAAAACATTGCCGGTTTCCCTATTACCGTCGTGCGCTTACTCGACATGGGACAAGACAACCATTAAATCGCCGCGCTAGTGGGGTCGCGTGCGACCTCGGCATCGCAAGTGACGATGTTTCTGCGTCTCACATGGCGACAATAGACAATGTATAACCAGAAATAGCCATGTCTATGATGTCGTGATCCACATGGAATGCAGTGCTCAACCCGCAGCCAAAACCAAATCAAGAAATTGTCGCACCCATGGTCGGGCGCGACGGAGCGGCAACTACAATTGTCCTGACCATCTCCCTGCGCTACTTGGCCCACAGGCACGACCCACTCTTACTGTCATCTGCATATATCCCACCTTCAGCCTTCCTTATGAAAGTATCGAACCTTTCCCGAACTACAGCCCGCTCCCCTAATGGAATTCACTAATGATTCTGTCTTCACCTCAAACAAAATTGCATTCGATAGTTTGCTATTTACACAAAGAGAACTGAAGAGGCAGACTCAAAGAATGCAAAAACGGAAAACGCAACATTGCGAGCAAATTACTGTACTATGGAGTTTACACTGGGTGTCTCGAAAAAAGCTCCGACTACGGCTGAGTTACCACATCGGTCGTGACGTGGACACAACGTGTGGGCACAGCGAAAAAATAAAGGACCTTGTACTGAGCACCGTTCAGGCTGCTGTATACACAGCCAGCATGCGCAACGAACGCCCACTTCTTCCCATACGTTGCACTTGTAGGTATCTCGATTATAAAAGGATTTTTGCGTATGAAAATCCCAGCAGGGAAAGTAACGTCAGGGGTGGGGGTGTCAGTGCGACCGCACTCAACATCCCTGACTCAGTGCGGCCCCATTTCGCTAGCCACCTAGCCACCCCTTGCCGAACGATCCCTCCCTACCTCATCGACCAAATATGACCCCTGAATGGTTTCGTACAGTGATGCTGCACTCCTGAACCTCAACAGCATTTTCTCCCTATTCACCTAGCCGCCATAACCGGCTGCCCCATCTTATCGCTCGGCTACGGTTAATCAGCGAAAAAAATTTATAACTATTAGTTTTAAAACATTTCTACCCAACTAACCTGAAATTTTTTACAAGCTGAAAGTTGAGCATTTGGTGGAAGAATTCTACAACCAATTGGTACTACGGAAGCTGTATCGAATAGGACACGTTGTTCAGCTTCAATAAGTACCATTCGAAGCATGTCAGGACGAAGCTCCCGTTCACGAGTGGTACTGGAAAGACAAGGTATGCTGTAGGAGAAAGCAAGAGGGAGGAAATGTTTAACTCACCAAAATGACTCGAATACGGGACTTTTTGTCACAACGGAAGTGACTGAGTCTCGAGGGGTCGGTGGTCCCACTCCTCCTGCTGCTCTTGGTTGTTGTCCATTTCGTTCGCCAGGAGGTTGCGGCTGTACGAACATATTCGAGTCCGTCTTTCGCCGTTTTGTAGCGGGAAATATTGTCTTGATGAACGACATCCTTCAGAACCAAATTTGAAGAATCCTGGAAGAAAGTAGCCCTACAAAATGTACGGCCAAGGTATCTGATTCTATAGATAGACTATGTTCCGCCTAGTATCTAATAATTTATCAAAACTGTAGCAGTTCGGGGCGAAAGGGGGGGGGCTTTTGCACTTTGCTGCTTCCCATCGACGTATCGAACCACCTATAGAGCTATTTCATGAGCTCACAAGGCCTGACAGGTTTTACCATGATGGCTGGACTAACCTTAGTCTATCTTACAAGTGTTCACAGGTTTCACCAGAGTTGAACATGTGAAGGGCCCTAGTGAAGCAGTGAAGGTGCAAAATGCCCCCCCCCGTCGCTGAATTGTGACATCAAAACTACTGT